ATTGTCAAATCTATACATTTTAAACTAGCAAAAAATAATCTAGCATTTGTATGGCATTTTGCCTTTTAATGTTATAAAGTAGAGAGATTTCTTTTGTACATTTAAAGTTATTTTATATTGTTGTTCCACAGCAAGCTTTCAAATAAAACCTTCATGATTAAAAAGCTCACTCAGTTATCAATATCCTATCTCTGAAACACAGTGCTTTGATGGCCCACGCTGAGAAAAATAAAAACATAAACTGCATTCAGAGTTCAGTACCAGATGATCAGAGTCTACAGTTCAACGACTGAGAAAAAATATTAACTACCATGTTTCCAGCATCTACCAATAAACTGTGTAAAAACAATGCTTATGTATACCTTTGTTTCACAGTATTTTTAATAATCCTAATTTAAAGGTAAAAAGTATAGCAGATGCAGAAGACGTATGTTAGCTAAGCTTCCCAAGCACTGTGCATAAAAATAGTTTTTACTACTCCTGCTTTAGTAAAATCAAGCCAGGTGCTCCTGCAATATCAAAAACACACAAATGCCAAGAAGTGCTGCAGGATAACATGAAAAATAAAAATAATGAGAAACATCATTTTCTATCCATACATCTGGTCCAGCTGGAAAGGATCAGGCACTGCCTTTCTCCACCTTTATCTCCCCTTTACAGACCAAATATGAAAAGGTCAAAAGTATTCACTCCTCATTGAGAAAGAACTTGGAACTCTACCTTCAGAGATGAGTGAGTCAAATAATGATATGGAACGAAGAGGTGATTCCAGTGGAGAAGATGAGAAATCCATAAACCAAAAGGAATTATAATCCTGGTCCCACTGAAGACAACGATAAATCTCCCACTGATTTCTCAAGGGCCAAGATATTCATGAAAGAACAATATTATTCACATAAACAATGAACTCTCATGAAAACAACATGTGTTACAAATCACATAAAATCAAATCAGAACAAAGAGTGAGAGAAATCCCACTGAGAAATGATTCAATAGAATGATTCCAAAAACAGTGAATACATATATTCTTGCATGAATATTTGCAGAAATGACAGAAAAAAAATCAGATGTAACAAAATATGTCCTCTAATAAGTTGCTTTTCTTTCTTCAAGCTCCACAGAACAGGTTGCTGAATAGGAAAGTAAAGAGTTAAGTATCTACTAAGTAATGCAATAGTGGCTTAACAACATATTCAGGCCACCTCCAAGGAAGTCCATTCCCTCTAAATTTCTCTTAATTCCTAACAAGCATACACAGAACACGTTTTCCAGTCACTTTCAATGACAGATTAAAAAAAAAATCAGAAACTCAAGCTAAGTAAATTAAGCTATTTATCTCAACAACCTGAAAGAAGACCTTGCAGATCTTCTCCCTTTCAGAAACAGTACAAACATTCAGTGACAAAACAAAAATAATTTTAGACATAAACTTTTTCATTACTTGCTTTGAAGAGTTTTGTTGTATCAGCATGAGAAGGAGCTTTTAGTAATTCCTCTGAGGTTCACAGTCACATGCAGTTTACATGAATAGTATAAACAGCTCTATATGAATATGCAATTTAGTCTCAGACAAGTATATGATTTCCTATAGAGAAAAAAACCCGTCAAGAATCCCACTACTTCATTTCCATGCTCTCAAATACAACTGAGTCACCTTGCACTATTTCCAACAGATGAGTTTAAGAACAGGATAGAAAGAAATGTTTCATAAATGGTCTAGGCAACATGCTCTAGTTATGCACCTCCCCCTACATGTATTCCCAAATCTGAAGTGAAGCATCCTGGCTGCAAAACAAATCCAGTATTTCTTTTCCTCTGAATTTATGAAAGGTAGTAAGTCCTAATAAATTATTACAATTTTACCTAAAACAAAACTGTAATGGACTGGAAAAATAACATATCCAGTTATTCCCCAACAGCTTGCCTTTTGTGGTCTAAAACTCCATCTATTTAGCCTTCCCTCCTAAATATGATTTTCTAAATTTATTCTTATTGCTGACCTAGTCTTTCTGTTAACTATTCTTTTTTTTTTTTTTTTAAAGTGCAAGGATCAAAATTGTATAAAAAGTCCTAAAGGTGGATGGATCACTGCTACAGAAATGAAGAAAAATTACCTCTCACTTCTGCAGTACTGATATTATTTAAGTATCTTCCAATAGCTCGCTTTCTTTTAATATTCAGTTCTAAGTAGAGAGTAACGACATGGTAAGACAAGCTCCTTATGAAGATAAACTCAGTGTGTTCTCAGACAGAAGAATAACTTCACTATGCTATAAGCACATTTTCAGTCAGCCATGTAACCTTATGAAAAATATGGAAAACATTCCTCTTTCTCCTTCCCTTGGTGGATCATTTTATGATATCTAAGAAGGAAGGCATCTTCTCTATAGCCTGTTCCTTATCTGCTTCAATACTTCAATCCTATAGAAACAGTAATGAAAAAAAATAAAATCACAGAGACTGACTTCAACCTAACAACTGAACATAATCTGAACTTTTTATAAAACTGGGCACTCTGCAGGGTATAGCACTTCCAAAACACTAGTCCATGGATTACGGGCACCTCTAAAGTACAAATGTCAGCAGTGTAAAGCAGTTGATGAATAATATTAAATTAATTGTAATCATCTACACTTGGGATACCAACAGCAGGGACAGCAACTCCAGTTCTTACTCCTGGAAGGATGACAAAGTAACGTACTACTTTACCAAGCCCCCACATGCATAACTGCTCTCAAGGCTGGTTGGCTGTACATAGTCCACAGCCCTGAGCTACAACAAGAGAAAACAAACAAATGAACAAAAGCTGTTTCCTTGTAAGTGAAGAATGAGAATCCCGAGAAAAATTTTGATGGCAAACTTATTTATGAAAGAGTAACTTTTTTCTAAGACAAGCAGAACTGAGAGGTGAATGCCACTTGATTTCACATCCATGCAAGAGGCAGAAGAGGGAAGCTGACCCAGTTCACGTCTGTGATGCGAAGTGAAGGAAAATAAATGTTTCTAAAACAGAAAATGTGTTGAATGACAGTTAGGAACAATTCACTTGCGGTACAACCATTTTCCCAGTGAGCTTATTACAAATCACATGACACAGACTCATATTACACACAAATGGCTCCTACAGGCTACTAGAGCCAGTAATGTATAGTCTCCATTTCTTTGAACAGTTTATTAATCCGTTTCCCTCCACTACTGTATTATATGTCAATGTTGCATCTTAATAACATATTATCTGTCAAGGAAAGGAAGCACACCTCATCACAGTTTGTTCAGGTCAAACACCTTACCCAGATAGCATATCTATGAGTTGCCTGCTTGTCTCTAAAATGTTAATCCATTTTGTAACAGCTTGTAATTAAAAAAATACACTCATTGATCAGAGCAATGAGGTGCAATACTGAACTTCCAGCTGTAAGTGTAGAAAACCAAGTTAGTTTCGTTGAGAACATCTGAAAGGATGTACCTACAACTTGTTCTTTTAGCAGTGTCTGTGAAGAACAACTTCAATATACTCTGTGTGGGAGGTGCAAATCTATAGATGGAACAGGCACAGTTTTATTAAATTTCTTCATTTGCATGGAAATCCAAATATAGACTCAATTTCCATCAGAGAGGAAGGTGAATTTGGGGACTCAGATAGTCAAGCATGCAGCCAACTCAAGCTAATGTAAACAAACAAACAAACAAACAAACAAACATCTTTTCTCCTTTAAATATTTGCCCACACAGCCTGGCAAACAAAGCTGTTCATAGAGATGCAACTAACAGGAATCCAATCCACAGGCACTTCTTGAATTAAGGTAAACAAAGCAATGACTGTACATATGCTCTTAGCTCCCAGATAACTCATCTGTAGAATTAAGGACCCAAGCCCTTACTTTCTCTAAGCATGTGAAAATATGATCCAGTGTTAAGGATTCTGTGTGTCAATCCCTTACACAGAAGTCAAACGTCAGGCACATTTCCTGAATTGATTTGTTACAGAAATGTAAAAATAAACATAATGCAGATGTACTAAATCATACAGAACGAAAAAAGTAAAAGCAAGAGAAAAGTGACAACTGGGAAGTCAGGAGACTTGAATTCAATAATAGTAGATGATTAGATGCGTTAGGCAAAATTCAAATTATGTTTGCAAAAACTTCAGGTCTGGCTAAAAATGGGAGAAAGTCTTTTTCACAGGCTTGAAAACAAATGAGTAAGCAAATCTGCAGCAGAGAGGAATCAAACAAATGACAGCAGGAACTTCTTTCACTATTATGACACTGAAGTCAATGCATTGCCCAATCTCCACTCCAAACACACTCTTCTCATCTGTCTTCCAAGAAAGGCAGATTTTCAAGTCAGGAGACCAATTTACAGCATTTTTTCTGTCATCTGTGCATCTCAGTTCCAAGATGAAAAGTATACGTTTTCAAGCCGGTATGATTTAATAAAATTTACCAGAACACAAATTTACTAACTGCCACTAAGAACCCTTGCCTCTGAGTAGAAAGAACCTTAACAAAAGGCCTAAATCAACTTGTTAGGAGTTTTCCAGATGAAAAGTACAAAATACATAAGCAGTTCCATAATCAAAAGATACTACACCTGCATATTAAGAAAGCTTCTTTTTCTTTTGCCTTTTTTTAAATAGAGAAGAATCTATTCTTGCAAGCAATGTTATTAACTGCAATTAAGAGAAAGAACCAAGCCTCATATAACTTGACAGCATTATGTTCTACTAATTTCTAGTGAACAAGAACAGTCATAGAGAGCATTCATACAGTTCAGTCAATGACATCCTATTATAACAACATTTCCAGCATTGTTACACAAATTACATTGAACATTTATACAATTTTTTCTGTTATGTCTCTGCCAGACAATTACTACTTCTCTAGACTTCAATGGTATATGAATAGTGGTGGTATACACACAACATTCCATTTTCCTAAGAGGCAAGCAAATGAATCTACATTTAAAATATAAAACAACATGAAAGACTTTGAACTTACCTTCTTTTTTTGTGTCCTGTTCCTGCCTCCCAGCCAATCATCCATCTGTTCCTCAATCTCTTCAATTGAAGCTCCATGATCATATGATGGTATATATGTGTTTGATTCCAGAGCCATGTACACAGGGAATTCTAATTTCGGTTTCTTGACTTTAGGTTTCTTCTCCTCTATACAAAAGTAAAAAAGAAGAAAAAGTAATGCTACTAGTATTGCAGAGATGTGCAATTCAGAAGCAGGCTTAGCTCCTCAACTTTTAATCCTATATTAAAATTTCCACTGAGGAAAAGGTTTCAATTTCTTTGTTAAAAAGAGAAGCAGGGTTTTACATAATAATTTTATTTTTACTAGAAGTAAAGAGGAATGCACCCACTTAGCCCCTCTTCCATCTGAACTATGCCTTTAAGGGCCAGATCAGCTCCTCAGAATCAGTTAGCTCTTGTTACTGCTGCACCACCTGGCAATGAAGATTAGTACAGGCAAAAGCACAGGAGTTGTTAAAAGATTTCAAAAGTTCAGTTAGCTTCAGAGCACTGGCAAAGGTAGAAAGGTGATGTTTAGACCATTTTTGTATTACTTTATGGTCAGCTATGCTGCCTACAAACGTCTCTGTCAATGGATAGCGTCTTTATTCTCAGATTTCTGCAACTACAAACAGCTCTGTTCTAGCACTTGGACATTTTGGGAGTTTTAAATGTTGGACCTCATTTTTCACACTGATCACTGTTCTCTGCTCTCTACGTCCTTCAAATCGTATTTAACCGGAGCAGCAAACTTAAGGGATAGAGAGGAAGGAGGGACAACATAACCTAAACCCCAGCAAATAAAATGATCTTAGAAGAAAGATTTAAGACGGAGAATTGACAGAGCTGTTGGAAAGACAAGAAGATGAAGGACAGAAAGAGAAACTTGAACACTCAGTATGCTTAGTATGACTCCTCTGGTTTTTCCTCATGTTTTAAAAATATGCTGTATTCACAATAACTAGATGCTTCTAAACTGAAAGAACTGATCTAATACCTCACCACAACCAAGAGAGAAATTCTGCTCTGACTCCACCTTTCCACTCCCTACTGCATGTTTTTATGCTCCTCTGTCTTCTACTGTGCTTCGACAGTCATCCAATCACTTAGCAAACTAACTCAATTCCCTAAGCTAGTAGAAAATTACTCTTTACACTCAAACAAAAAGAAAAACATCCAAGTTATTTAAAGGTGGTGGGCAAGGAAAAGAAGGATCATACTTGCCAGCTGTGGAGGGCTGCAAGATCAGCTTATCTGCCTTTCCAACCATGCCCTAATACTTCAGAGGAAAAATCTTTTTCGTGGAACCTTCTTTTAGAAAATCCTGAAGAGGACAGAGGACTGTTCCCTACAGGCTCTGATGCAGAATTTCTTTTCCTAACTGTATATGTGCAGAAACAGCACAATGAAAAAAACTCCACAGATTTGACAAACTCCTAGGAACTGACTATTTAAGAAAACAACAGAGGCGGAGAGAACGGTCTCATAGCACCTTTCAAAAGTCCAAAAAGAACAGGAAATTTATACAGATCTTGGAAGTTAACAGCATGACTAATTCAACTTTTCATTGTTCAGTTTCATTGTACGTTGTTCAGAGACCTGTTTTAGTAAAAAAACTCTAACTTTGCTTGTCAAATTACTCTCAATAAATGAAATACTAAGTAAAAACTTGTATTTGGAATTTTTTAGCATCCCTCTATAGGCATGCATAGTAAATATAATGAAATGACAGATGCTCCCTAAAAAACAAAACTAAGTGAAAACCCAAAAGTACCAGCATTTTTCTCATTGTGCAGATGCTATTAAAGACAACAGTGGTGCAAAATTCTTTTTGTCTATTTCAAAAGGTAATTTTTATAATCAAATCACATATATTTAATATTATTTTACTCCAAAATTGCCATGTGTAACAGCTTCTGGAGTCAGAGTCAAGATTTGCATGGATAAGCAACAATGGCTTCACCAGCTATTTACCCCAAACACATGTACTGGCAAAAATATTCCAGCATGTTAACTTAAATGACAATTTTCATCACTGTATTTCAATCCTACAAAATAATCAAACCCACCATGTGTTCACTTGGAATTACGTAACAGTGGAGACAGTCGGCTTTTATTGTATCTTGCACCCCATTACCTACTGTTTATTAATTTTCCCTCTCAAAATATGTTAATAGTTAAAGCCTGAATGCTTCTAACCAACATTTAAAATGAAGAGTGGAGCCTGCCAATAGGTCATCTATGCTCCTTCTGTAGTTTTAGAAAAAATTCTGTAACAGTATTTCCAGAAGACACTGCACCTCTCTTTAAAATGAGGTATCAAAGACAGTATCTAGGCTTTCTTCAGACAGTTAAGCAACAGAGGAAGACCTAACATAGATAAGACACCCTGCTGTTTGCTGACAATCAAAGGAACACAAAATCCCACCTAGAGAAGATGGCTGTACAACCTCAAACAAGCACTCAACCAAAATTAAAAAAACCTTATCTCTACTGTCTCCCATGCATATACAAAAAGATGAAGGAGTTCAGCATATCCCTTAAATACCACAAATTAAAAAAAAAAAAAAAAAGAATTGAAGTCACAGCACCTTTGACATAGGGCTCCCAATAACCCATTGAGAACAGTTTCACCTCAGAATTTTCCAAGTCTTTTTTTTAAAACAGGAATGCATATAAAAATGGTTTAATGGTAACATCATGAAGGATTTTAGACAGAGGAATTTCAGAAGTTATATTCAGAGGTATGATGTCTCAACTTAAGGCAGCCAAGTACCGTTGCTTTTTCAGGTGAAGATGGAGAAAGCAAAACCTCACTGAAACTATTTCACTCAAACAACAGAAGTCCACAGGAAATACTCAGGAAGAAAACCTCCCTCTTTCATGCTATCTTTTCATTATCAGCAATTCATGGCAGCCCAAAAGATACTTCCAATCTGACCTAGTGCTTCCCCCTGAAGAGAATATGGATCAGGTTTTCCAAATAGCAGATAATGCCTAGACAGCTGAATCCTGTATCTGCTAAGGCTTGACAGCCAGCCAGGAAGTTGGTGCAGCTGCCACCACCACCACCTAATGTAAGGATGTGTTAGATTGTGCTGACAGTAGTGACAACTAGAGCTGTGATTCAGAGTTTTGAAATGCAAGTGTTCCCTTAACACTTACTGTTGTCTTCTAATGGTGCTGGGTTTAGCCCATCTACTATAACAGAACAGGCTTTTAAAATGCATTTTTCTCCTCCAATCTCAAATATTGTTCTAATACTGTTACACACAAAGCTAAGTGAAATGCATGAAAAACATTCAGAAAAAGATTTCATAGATTCTTCTCAGTATTGTGACCGTCTGCTGGAGACCCAATCAGACCACTGTGCCATATGTGGGCACCAATATCCAACATCCCTTGACTTTAATCAGAGTTACTTGTGCTCATACAATTAAAGCAGGGGAGAGAAAATAATCTTGGTAAAAACAGAGCCTGACTTCAAGCTCAATAGGGTAAATGACTAGCTTACTCTCATTACTATTTTCTGAGAACATCATGTACTTCAATTGCCAAATTACAGTGTAGTAACATCACTAGTTTATTAAATAAAATAAAAAAAACAAGGCAACAGCAGTAACTAAATGGAATCCAAGGTCATAAGCACAATGGAAATTTTTTGATATCTACCACTCCAGTGTAAAATGATTCATGACTTTACGGAGTTCTAGTCCTTCTGTAGCAGAAGAAATTTTATCATTTGCTGATTTCATACTGCAAGGATACTAATTTTCTATAAGTATTTTCCACCTGCAGAACTATCAAGTTCTTTACCAGAATAATAAATTTGACTGTGTATTTAACAACTTAAGATTTAAAAAAAGAGATAGAGCTATGTCCCCTATGTTTGAACAGCACATAAAACACACCCATCACTGGGATGCCCAGAATTTAACAGATAACACACAGCTAACTCTCATAAAGTATATAATTTTATGTTTCTAAAGGCCTCCAATACTATTCCTGTACTGGCTATACATTTTCCTAGTTTTTGGTGCCATGATGTGGGGTTTGAAGTCTGATGAATTACTTGCACATGGTCAGATACTTTGACCTTCCTTGTTACTTCTTCCATGCTGTTACTACATTAATTTTATCAGTGGCAGAATTAATAGTATCTGGCTAATGATTCCTTGCTTTAAGATATATCAGCTGTCAGATAAGAAACCAGCTAGCCTTTTTGGATCAAGTAATCACGTACTAAAACAGCAGTGCTTTTTTCCGTAACAAGTAACAGAGGTCCTGTATTTTAAAGTTTGAAGAAAAATATATACTGATTTTACATGTTAGTTGGTGTAAACAAAAAGAATTCAGAGAATTTTTCACAGAAAGAAAAAACTGCTTCATACAGAAAGAAGTAAACCAAAAACAAGTTCTGAACTTCTGCAAAGAAAGTATGACACATCAAGTTGCAGCTCCCTTTCTCTTCAAGGCTTCTAAGCTTTAAGTATGAACAAGAATTCACAGAAAATATAGTCCAAAAAGACAGTGATGTCTTGAAAAATCAAATGGACAGGCTGCCTGATATCTCATGCATTGATAAGCAAGAAATATGAACCACACACAGAGGTAGACAGCAAACATCCTTTTGGCAAATTAGTAAGATACTGCACTGAGATCTCTTTTTTCAACACTGTGCACTTACCTACAAAACCAAACCAAAGCTTTTAGAACATCAAAATTTGTTTTAAACGTGACAGAGAAAAATTCACTTGCACATACAGCAACACAGTCAGACAGAACACAAAGAACTCGGAAGTCCAAAAAACTTTTTACTAAGGTTTTGACAGTGTTGAAAAAAATGGAGCAAACCATGTTCAATATCAATGCAAATATGGGGCAAACACACATATGTTCAAAAAAGTACACATTTCTGTACTCATAATAAAGTCAATGAGATTATATGAATGAGTTAGAGACAGATATACACCTCTGCTGTACTGGGACCTACAAGCTAGTTTATTTTTCGATCAAACTGACTAAAGACATGCTCAGGGTTGAATGCATCCTCAGCCACAAAAAACTTCTCACAAGCTGCAGATTTTGATGCCTTTCATCTTTTTCTCTGAGTATCTATCCTTCCCAAAACTTCTAATTCCCCCCAAATACAAAAGGGTTAGAAACAAGGCTCCAATATTTGAGAGCTAATTTGCCTTCCAACAAATATACAATGAAATATGGATTGCGCTCATACACTGCATGTTAGTGGAATATTTTCCATAAAATCTGAAGCAAGTTTTGCAGGAGAGGTATCGTACAAGCCTAGTTGAAACAATGGGGAAAAGCACATGAGCTTGCAAGTTCAAAATTCTTTCGGCAGGCCTGCCAAAACAATCAGTGAAATGGATGATACATAGTTTGCCATAATTAGGCTTCGGAGGTAACAATTAAGTGATCAGAACATTCACACCCACACCGACCAAAAAAGCATGCACTGCATGAATTAATTTTCTCTGAACCTGCCTGTCAGCAAATCATTACTGAACAGACATGTCAACACTGCATTTTGGCAGAGATTAATACTAAACACAATTATCCAAGATATTTGTCAATTATTTGGAAGTAAAAGGAAAATCACCTTCAGTATAGTGCTAGATTCCATCAGTTTGGTCAAAATGGTTTACAGGGATGAGGAAAGCACAGGAAGAAGTAGGAACATGGACCAACTGGTAGTCTGGGACCAATCAAAAGCATTTTTGAAAACTACAGTTAAGGACCTTATGCCATATCTGCACTTACAAGGGACTGTGTGCAAGGAACCTTTGATGTAAGGGCTCACAGTTATGGTGGACAAGCAACCTGAAATGAGCTATCAGAGCAATAGGAACTTAGGTAATCTGTGATTCTGTAAACAGAACAATAATCACAGAAGAAACACAATTTTATGATATGAAGATGACAAACTTTAGAAGACTATATACAAACCCAGGCCCCACTACATTGGAAAACTAAGTAAGTTCAGAAGATCCACAAAAATTAAGCGCTAAAGAAATGCTTTATATTAAGAACACCTGCAGATAAATAAAACTTTTTTTAGGCACAGACAAATGCTAATAATGAACTACTGAAAGCTACAGCTGGAGAAATCTATACTGAAATTAAGATATAACTATATAATAGTAAAATTAATTGTCTCAACAAACTAAGAAGAAGAGAAGGCATTTTGAGGCCTTCTGATCAATATAATTTCTTGTATAACAAGATGCACAAAACTAAAGTGCATCACTGGTACAAGTCAAACAAGACAAGTCAGGAGAACCAGTATTTTTCACTGACTTTTGCCAATATGGGTCTAAAATAAACACATTATACTGAACGATCTAATGATGTCTCCTATCCTAGTTTTCACGAAACAATATAAAAAGCTACCCAAGCAGCGTGCTGTATTCTGAGCTGTCTGGAAAGGGAGAACAACCAAGCCTAACCAAACATGATCAAATGTATAAAAGGTTTCCCTACAGCTCTGGATGTTTGGTGGCAGGTACTTGGGTAAGAGTGCTTTGCTATACGGCCCTGTGAAGAGACACATCATAACCACATCATACTGCATCACACCACATCATAAACGCCCAACACAGCCCTAGTCATACAGCCATAGGACTTGTAACTTCGTACTTCAGTTAAAGCTGGAATGATGGGAGTGATAAGGGGAAAAAGCCCCAAAAAACTACAAACTATTCAACATGGTTTATAACTAGAAACAAAACAGTTACTTGCCATAGATTATTCCAGATGCCTTGTACATCACAATAAGAATTCTGGATTTACAATGCAAATACATTTGGTAATGGGATGCCAGTGAAGAGTTCACCTGCAATATCTACCAGGCGCCATTTCTTTAAAAGGGCATATTGTAAACATAAATGTAAGTCTTCATATTGAAGGACAGGGAAAAGGAACTAAGAAGAATGGAAAGTAAGAGAACTACCAAGGCTAAGTATAAAGAAAGAAAAATAGATGTGTTTCCCCAATATGGATGTGGCTGAAAGAAGTATCCATGCAAAAAGAGCTTGAGAGCTGCAAGAATTTGTCCTGATAACTACTCAAACCTTGCAATTTAAATTTAAAAACTGTCAGAGTCATCTGTCCTGACACTGTATCTTTAAGTCATCTTCATTTAATGACTATTCGGTTTAGCTAATACATACTCCATTTCACATCCTGTGACTATGAAGGACATATTGTTAAAGAATCATTCCCTGATGAAGGGATCACATACATGTGACACTACAGAAGAGGAAGAAGTTGAAAGAAAGTTTATTAATTAAAGCACTTTCATTCAAAAATAAATTTTGTGTTCTGGTATCTAAATGTGGAAAATGCATCAGAAAACGTAAGGCAAAACATCTCTATTTTTGTCTCTAAAACACAGTTATCTGTAATTCCACACAAAACCGTATTTCCTAGAGACATAAGGTTATAATGTAAGTTGCTGTATTTCTGTAAGGTAAAGTTGCTATATTTTATTAAGGCAGTAATGACCATTTTGAATGGATTGAGAAGTGATAAGAAGCACTGCAAAAGTGCCACAAAACTAAATCAAACTGTGCGTAATATTGACTTACCAAGAAATTATTTTTTCACATTCCTTAACAAATACAGCACTTTAGTGACATCTTAAATCCGTCCTCTTGTTCCTATTTTGCAAATTATATTTTCCTCCTCCAGTACCATTCTCTGTTTTTAGTTCAAGCTGCCTACAGAATACTGCACACTTTGAGCAGGAAAGCAGGTAGACATGGGGGTAAACCAGCAATTAGGCCATGAAAAAACAAGCACTGTAAAACAGCTGTTGCTAATCAGCATGAGATACGTTTACTCAATTAGATAGATGGAACTGTTATTGTGAACTCACATCCAAGGGATGGTCTCTAAAATTAAGAAGAACAGGGGCAAACAAAATGCACATTTGGTGATTTACAACCTTTCTATGCTAATTGGGAAGTGACAATAATGAAATAAGCAAATTTAGCAGATGCTTTGCACATAAGCTTCAGGAAAAAATGATATAATTTTTTTTGCCTACAGTAACATGGATGCATCTCTTGTTCCTCTCTTGGGAGTCTTATTTATTTTTTAAAAAGGTAACTGACAGCTCATTCTGCTGCCCAGCTATCGCACTGCTACGGCTGACTAAATAATTCTGTACCAAATTTCAAACTCTGCTAGTTACAGGTGGTGACTCTCAGTCCTTCTTGAGTTCCCTGCCAGTAAGCCTACTAAGGCAGGGCAGGATGCCAGCCAGTGACACGGGTGAGGACTGGACCCCTCTCTCACGAGTGACACCGGGTCACCCAGCAGACATGGGGGTTATGCCGTGTTGCACCCAGCAGTGTGACAGGGGACAGCGTGGTGCTTCCCTCAGAGGTCGGGGGTGACCTGGAGAGGGAGATGCACCAGCCTCGCACCTCTCACGTGTGGGCACTGCTACTGAGGTAACAAAAAAAAAAAAGGCGACCTTTCAGTGACACAGGAATCTGCACACTACAATTTAATGACTTTATATTTTCATTTGCACTTCTGCTTTCAAAAAGTAGTCCTTTTAAAACATTAGTTCACAGATTTCAATGAGGAATGCATGCCAGCTCTTATGAACAATGGCAATACACTGCTATCTGACAATTTAACAAGTTTTTAATAACCCAAGTCAAGACCCTTTTCAAGGGCCTATTTTGTGGTAGGTATCTCAAACATAATGGCAGGCCTCCCTAACAAGCATTAAATGCATTATTTTCCTAGATTTGGCCTGGGTCCACGATGCTCACTGAGGTGCTGAATGTTATCCATTTTCCCAAAATGGATTTGGCTACAGAAAAGTTGGGAATTACCGCTGAAACTGGATCTCTTTGCTGATTTTACAAAATTAAGCTATTTTGTAAATATAAATTATGCAGCTGTATTTTAAGTGCCTAACGGCTTACGCATACTCCAAGCCAGTAAATTATCACAGGGCACTCAATGCACTTGTCAGAATAAAGGAACTTAAAAGCATGCACTTAAGTATAGTAAATAAAGCAAGCATGCACATACAAACGCAGACAAAAAAACTTTTTAAATTGTCTTCAGAAGAGGGTAGGTTTTTTGTAGGGTAGTTCATTGTCAAAAACAATGAACTGAAAAAAGAAAAGGAAAAGTCACCTATAATTATTCTGAATACTTTATTAAGGGAAATCTTAATTGCTTTCTCTGGTCTTTTATAAGAGTGTAAAGACTTTAAAGCACTTATTCCAACAATAGCATGAATCCATCTCTGAAGTCTGCATTCATGCATTTGGAAATTCACATTACGTTCACTTTCTATCACAAAAATCAACTCAATATGCACAAAAGAATCACTACACACGTTATTTTAAAAAATATTTACAGACAAAGAGAATATAAGAATGCTCAAAACTCAAGATGTCACTTCAGAAAATGTTTACTTCAAGATCTAGAATTTTGAGATCTCCTGCTCCTGTAAAGCAACATTTCTAGCAAGGTATGTTCTTTTTGCTATGATACATCACCTGAGTTTTATGCTTCTATTGGAAAAAAGCAGCAGCCTACTGCAAAATTAGCCACAAAATTAAAAGCTTATTTAAATTTAACAGCAGGACAGAAATATATAAAGCATGTATTTTAGGAGATTATAAAAATGTTTGTTCATATACATCCAGTGCAGAAGGCATTCATATTACATCTTTGTTTATTAAGACAGTGGTAAAAACTCACTCTGAAGTGTTTCAAGTTCAGCCTTAGCCAGGGCATCTTCTTTCGCCTTCATTTTTGTTTCTTTATATTCTACATATAATTGTCTGGCATCCTTTAAGAAAACGTTGCAATGGCATTAGCATCCTTATACAAACAAGTTATTGCAATGGCTCTGTTTTAAGTTCTCAATTAACCTCGAAAAAAATTTTAAGATATATTTGTTTCCTTGAGTTACATCAATTTTCTGTCTAGAAAGTATTTGCTCAGAATGTAGAATTTGTGTAATAAAGGTTCAAATGTAATAGCATTGATATTATAGACTATGATGCTCATTGACAACCTGAAAAGCAAAATGATTAGAGAAACTACCTACAGCTTTGGAAGAGGCCATGTACCCCTGCCTTTGTTGACATCAGCAATCTGGAAGTTCAACAGAGAAAGAAAAGTTTTTAATTAAAGTAGTGTGTGCAGGGACAAACAAAGGCAACTGCTAGGCAGCAGTCACCTTAGTGTGAACTCATTAAGGTAACACTCACTGCATGTTCCAGCTTGTTGCCCTTTCTTTTTTAAATCAACTTCTACATTGCTATTAAAATGTTGAAAATAATACATATTGGTTTTTTCTCCAAGGATTAGATTCTAGTTTGAAATCTATATACCAAATGTATACATAAAAGTAGAAATCTTGCCACAAATACCACAAAAAGGTACACATTTCCAAAATCTGATGAATTAATAATTATAGATTTGCATTGAAAGCTTTCCAAACTGAACAACCAGATTGTTGAAGTAAGAAGTATGGAGAGTTTTCTTACTCTCACTTATCAGCTTAAGAGATTTCTATACTCATTCAAAACCAAGGAATTTATAATAGAAATGCTGAAATACACAAGTTGTTATTTATGTTTTCCAAGCATGCAGAATATCTATTGTATTACATAAAAATTACAGAATTAGATAAACCCAATTTTAGTTCTTTATAGCCAAAAATAATTTCTTGTTATTACACTAACAGTACCATTTTATATATAAAAAGGGTGATTTAAACTTTAATGTAGAATGTATTGTAAAACAGTAGTAAATGTTTTTTTTTACAATTTCAACTATAATTCCATAGATTTGAACACAACCTGGTATCATTAACATGAAATAAGACAACAAATCTTGAAAAAAAACCAAACTGAGGTAAGCAGTCATTATTGCTGCCTCTAATGGTAGAAATCATTCAAAACCGTTTCTTCCTGCAAAGATACCGTGACACAACAGTTGTTCCTCATGTTATGCTGGCATCTAGCCCTGCAAAGATACTTGAGGGAGGTGGGAAAACACAGGACAGGAACCACGGCCCAGCTCTGAGCAGAACTTGGTAATGTTTTGGAGACATCTCATCAATACAAGTCAGCAGGCTTGAGGAACAACTCTAACAAATTGCCACAAAAGAACAGTAAGGTTCCACCTCCTTCCAAAATACCTCTTCTTACTCTCTATTTGTCTTTACATTGGGTACAGGAAATGGGAAGTTATGTTTCTTTGCCAGGTGTACGTAGAAATCACTGAACACAGAAGTAATTTTAAAGAGTTTACATAACTTTTTGCTGCTGGAACATAACAGAAGAGAGCATCTCACATGCTTATAAGTTTTGGGTTTGGGGATGGGGAAGAGGGGTTTTTTGGTGGTTTTAGTAGAACTGTGGCCAAAAAAAATGTGTAGGCACAGGAGGACTAGTATTAACATTTGAGGAAATGTATTCAGTTTCTATGTTAGAACATTAAATTAGAAAATTACGATCAACATTGATTCTCTTTTTAATATATATTTTATATATAATTATATTTATATTTTATATTTATTATTGGTTCTCTTTTATATATATATATATATATTTACCTGAAATATGAATTCCCTACCACATATGGAAACTTTACTTATACTCTCCAGATCTGGACTATTTGCTTCATTAAGAAACAGGAACAGCCATAAATGCAATGGTTTACTTCTGCTGTAAGTTTGAGACATTTGGGTTGCGTGGCATACACAAGACTCAGACATACTGATATCCAAAAAACGCTTTTGTTTAAGGCTATGATTTCAAAATGGCTACAATTAACTGGCATTTAAATTTAACCCATTTGACACTGAAAGCCAATATTTGATGCTAAATTCTGGTGTAAAATCCATTATTGCTTGTGGGATCTCCAGACAGCAGGCACTAGGGGGTAACTGTCAATCTCTCCAGCACGTCAATCACAGAACAATTGGAAATGTGGCTCAGATGAAAATGAGACACAATAGCTGAACAACAAAGAAAACTAGTCAGAAGCACATAAATGAAATTTGGTAGTATTGTTGCTTTATAGATATAAAATGGATTATCACTACAAATGGAGTAATATGCAGGTAATAAAGGCAACATCAGTCTTTTATCTTATTGATAAGTTTATTATGGCTGGTACCATAATAGCAAAAAAAAAAAAAAAGGGAGACTGCACATTTTGAAGCACAGACAAATGTATACATATAAAGAAAAGCAAGGGAAAAAAATCAACTAAAAGCTTTATTCAAAATGGATTTTGAAGATTTGAAAATCAAATCCTTCCCAGAAAAGCATAAGAAATGGCTCTACAGGTTGTAAAAAGAAATTAAAAGGCATACCTGAGTAAAGATTTTAGCCACAGACACAAATTTTATGGGTATTAGACCTTACAGGTCAAAATGAAAAAACACTAGAAAGCCATTTAAAATAGGAAGTTCTTTGAAGAAAACTTCTGCCTTAACATAAATAAGCCCATTTCAATTTACTCCTCATTAGCTTTCAATCAGTCTAAACAGGAATATTCATTTTCAAGCATATTCCGTTTTGGTAGCATAAGTATTTAAAAATAGATTTATGTTCAGATTTTTTACTTTTCCAACATGATAAATTTAAGCAGTCGCTTTCTCTCAATGCAAACATTTTAGGGCCCTAAAGACACTGGCAACATCGATACAGTCCCTTCCAATCTAATGCTCCTCCCCCAAGAATCGGTAATGATTTTACAGCTCAAAATATGTGCAACATCAAAAATTTATACCTGACATATACTTCACCTTCTAGAGGTAATAAACATAAGAAAAGCAACATTTTTGTACCTCTGGGGATGGAAAGATACAGAGAAAAGAGACACACAAGTACAAAGTTTGGAACGCTTCTAACTAAAAGCTCCACCTTACCTAATCAGAAATATTTTGTTCTCATTTGCAGGAGTTTAAGAAGTTTTCAGAAAGAGCATCAATACAAATACATTACTTCTTCCCATCAGCAAAGGAGTAACATGTAATTAGTTAAGCAAAAATAATAAAGAAGAGGGCTGATATATGCTGGTTTATTATACTACAATTTCAAATGTAGACTTTCCAAAAAGGAACAGAATGAAGAAAGAATGTATTGGAAATGCAAAGTTCTGCTGTTAGTATTTCTAAATTATATTTAAACTGTCATATATAAGAAGTTCCTGTGTTTACCCTCATATTTAATAAAAATTTTCAAAAAGTGTTGTGGAATAAAAATGAAAACACATATTTTCAATATTTTAATCACAAATAAGAACTAAGAATACTGAAAAATCCTTGAAAATATAGTTTCTCTCTTTATATCAGTATCATGTCATGTTAATAAATTTGAGATTGCCAAGACAAAACTGAGCTTGCATTATGCAGAAATACAGAAATATGTGATAATGGACTTTCAAGGGGTTTTTTTCCTTTGTTTGGGGCTTTGGGGTTTTGGTTGGGATTTAATGTGGGGTTTTTTTGTTTGTTGCTTTTAAATCAGCAGATACAGCATTTATTCAAACTGTGCTAATTCTAGAACCGAAAACTTCAGTTCTGAGTAAGACTCAGTCATTGACTCAGTCATCTCCTTGACTTTTGGAGAGGGTGATGAGGTTTTCTTTGTTTGTTTGCTTTGCGGCTTTTTGATTTTGGCCGTTTTTTCCTCCAGTTAATCTTGCTGGTTTTCTGGTCTACCTCAGAAACACTGAAGATTAGGAGAGGGAAGGAAAACATTGGAAACAACTTGCTGTATTTGTCACATGTGAATCTTCATTTCAGATTTTGTGATAGAATCAGTTCCACATCTTGGTTCCCTGGGTAAGGGATTGATACAAACAAAATGCATCCCCTCAGAATTTACAGTTAACTGAAAACTCTCCCACAAGCATACTTAAAATCAGTATATTGAAATAATTTTCTTTGGACTAATTTTTATTAAATCAATCTATAGACTTAAAGATAAATACTTGTACGGAGTTTCTGAACCAATTTTTTGATTTTTTTGAGTGCAGTGTTATTGTACAATTTATATTAAAAAAAGAGAGAAAGGAATTAAATTAAATTTACTGCAACAGCTGACCTTCAATTTGCTATTTCTATGCAATAAAAATGCAAGCCATTATACCACAGCAAAAATACTCTTTGGATGGGTTTCTAAACCAGTGATTTCAACATGTTATGGTAAGAAATAATGTTAAAAAAAGAGTTGAACATAATGATTTATACTTCTCTTTGGCATTTTTACATCTTTGCCCAAAGGCAATCTAGTAAATAAATAAGAATTACATTATTTTCTCCTGTGTAATCAGAAAATCACGCTTCGACCTTGGAAGAATACCAGGTGTGGCAAGGCTCTTCAGCTGAGCACAGCCTGTGGGCAGTTGCAGCCTGGTTCCCAAGCCTCGAGTGCACCAGGTGACCAGCAGCTGGCGGTGGCACTGCAGTACCTGCTGGGAATTCCACGTGCCCAGTGGTGAGACTAAGGCAGCCAGAAGTGGGAACAGAGACCAGTGCTGCAAGGCCTCTCTGGGACCCATTTCACACCCCATGAAGCCTCATACCACAACAGAGCAGTTCAATTAACTGAGAGCCAGCATTGCCTCATACACAGGAGCTCCTGTCGGATCTACGCTCCTCTGACGTGTGTGGTAGGACATGTAGACATACAGTAAGTGATCTGAAGAAGCTGCCACAGCAGAGCAGGCAATTAAAAGCAAATTTGTTTACTGTCTTACATTTACTTGAAACTTTTACTATGTACCACATTTTGTCTCCAGAGCCTCAAACAATACCCTGTTAGGCACAAATTATTTTTGCTCACTTGCATACACCCAGAAGACTTGTTTTACCATCCCCTCTCCTCTGACCTGCTTCTAAGCTTCTAATTGACCTCAGGGTCAAGAGCTTCATCCCTACTTTGGTTCTCACAACAGCTGTGAAATAGCAAGAAACAGAGCAAATGGGCAATCACTCGTGCCACACATCCTGCAACTGCTCACTCCCCACAAATTATATCAACATGGGTGCTGTACAGTGAATTGGAACACGTCAAAACCCTGTAAAGCTGGGGAATAAAGATATATTTAACCTTACTGACTTGAATAAAGCCCTTTTTAAAAAAAAAAAAAAATTTTTAAGGCATACATTATTAAACGCAATAAAGTTTGTTTTAATCTCACACAATTTTATATAGTCAAATGTGAAGAGAAAAACAACTCATAAATACAACATTTGCTGATCTAATCAAATCTTGCTTAAAAGCTAACTTGCCAAAGGAGATGCCCTGCTGGCAAAGCCTCTTGAGTTTAATGACACATTGCCAATCCATTTAAGGCCAAAGCTGAACCATCTCTAAACAGGTGTTGAACTGTGATCACAGATAAAAAGAAAACCTGAGCAAAAAATGCCAAGAAATTAAACACCTCTGGGTCACTAGTTTGAATCTATTCCAGGCTACTAAATCAGCTACAGTAATTACCATCTGGTAGCCTACATAAAAATAAATTACTGGTCTTTTTGTTTTAATTCACTCTGTGCTACACAAAGGTCTTTATAAACACAAGTTTCAATTGTAATTGAAAGCTTTGTTGATAATCTCACTGGGTTATACCCAGTGCAACCACATATTGAGCACGAACTGCCTTCTCATTACTGGCAAGCCACCAGAAGTCCTCCCATCAGCTCACTGCAAGGGTGTGTGCACTACACCTACAGGATTAGAGACAAAAGAAGGACACTTTATTTTCTTATAAAGAACCCATTTCTGTCTGAAACAAACAGAAATGCTTTCTGTTTCATTACCCTCAGGACAAGGGCTCATAATTTAGTTGGTGTAAAAATAAAGCCATTCATTGCTAAACTTCACCACATCAATGTGGAGGAAAAGTAGTTGAAAGGAATACTAAGAAACACTCCAATCTTCTGTTTTCTGAAGGAAATATTTTGAGAAGAATAATTAACAATATTTTTTAAAAGACCACTTTTCTTAAGTTGTGTGTCTGCACACCCAAAGAAAAAATCCCTCGTCAGCTGTTTTTGGAATAAACTGCAATTTATTTATGACAGTTCTTCCACAAAAGAACAAATTAACACAACTGTCTGTTCCATATTGCATACGCTACTTGAACTGAAATTCTTGCACACTACATGTAGCTAGTTTATTTCTTTCTAAGAAGAAATTTTAGTTCCAATGATAGTTTTAATTGACATTTTGTGGGGTCTTTCCCCTTCTTCTTCTTTTATCTATTTTTGTAAATAAAAAATCTTCTTCCAGGTCATTCTCATGAAAGAGTTAACTATAAACGACCTTAGAAACAATTTGCATTCTTTTCCTATCTTTTTCTTAACCACATTATAAGAATTAAACTTGGTAGTAGTCTATGTAATTTACACTCCACCTAATGCTTCTTTCATAGCACAGATATTTGATTTATGATACATTTTACATATTCTACTCCCTTCGTTTCTTCAAACAAGCTTAAAGATACTGTTTTCACCCCTAAATCAAACTGAACTAAATGCGTGGATATAAAAACCTATGTAGTCTCCCTCAAAATACAATTGTCAACAGTTTAAAAAACCCACTCATTTTCTTAGTTTCTCTCATCCTCTCGCCCATTTTTCTTCCAGTTTCTTGACATAAAATGCAGGCTACAATAAAATGCCACAGGCCATCACAAGGGCATGCAAACAAAGCATTTTTCCTCAGTGAAGGCCCACCTTAATTATTTTAAGTGCCTCCTTCTGAAATCTGACATTTTGAAGGAGGAAGGGAAGTAGGAGAAAGACACTCAATTGGACAAATGAGAGCCAGGCATGGGCAGAAGCTCAGCAACCTGAACCCACAGACAGAGCTGCTCTAAGCAAAATATTCACATTAACTAATGGAGGCAGAGAGGGATGCTAGATAAAAGAAATTCAATATGAGAACAAAAAGTTTAAATAGACCACTGACTGTATTTTTTGTGTTGTTGGGGTTTTATTTGTTGTTGGTGTTCTTGGTTTGGTTTTGTGTTTGTTTTGTTTTGGGGTTGTTTTAAATAAAGTCTCTTCTGAGGAAGAACTTGTGTACACAGGCAGGTGGTTTTGTTTCCTTAATTTGAGGAAACAGTTTAGCTGTTTCACCAGCAGGGCTTTGAAAAACTCAATGGCAGAAGAAACATCCAATTAAAAGTATTAACTCTTACCCTACCCTGTCCCAAACAGGGTTCATTTAAATATGGATGCATTTTTAGAAGTCCATCTACGATTGCATTAGTTGCAGGTGAATGACAGCCAATTTTGAAAACAACTTGTTGGCTCTTAAATGACTGAAGAAATCCTTAGAATTAAAGCAATAAACAACTAAAATTTGTAGTGTCCATTCTGATGTCAACCACTGCAACACCATGTTAAATAATCTGCATGTGTAACCTGGACATATAACACTACCCAGCATCTGTAGGATCCTTCTTCTTCTAGAAAAACTGCCCTAGTGATTCTACTTACATTAAAAGCATGAAGTACTCAGAAATCTCAAGCCTGTGTTAGTGTTGAAGAGAAAAGCACTTATATTCAAAACAGGATTGCTGTACCAGGGTATAATCTTACAAGTACAGATAACTTTTTACTCTATGTTGGTAACTGCAATTAAGGCAGAACTTGCCTTAATAATTTGAGTTAAAAATAACTCAAAAGAAGCCCAGACTCTCTGTCCAGGACAACCTACCAGGCATCTTTTCAACTGTCACTTCAGAAAACACCTCCAACATGAGGCCACTGCTGCTTTTACACTCTTCAGAAGAGGTAATAATTCTTTAAGTATTGCTGACTAATAACCTACAGTAATTTATTTCAGTCACCTGAAGTCCTGAATATTCTTAATATTGAAGATTACATATGATGTATTGTATTTTAACTTACATAATTAGCAAGTCACATTAAACAACAACAAAACAAACCCTGCAGTTAAGCAGTAGTGTCATTCATATATGGGGCAATTTACTCTAGAACCTCCATCTCTTTTCTTCCTCCTTGCATCGAAGCCTTTCTGCTCTGACTTTCTCTACATCACGCTTCCTCTGCCACCAAACCCCTGTTTGGTAGTCTCCAGTTTTCCAGAAGTTATTGGACTTGGTTTTTTCTACTACCATTAATTCAATGGATCAGGAATCCAAAGAAAGGCTAAGTTCTACAAAGCACAAAACATGGCTTTTGTTGTATTCATCTTTTTTGCCTATTCTAGGCAGACATAGGAGCTGCTTTTTGAACAGCAAATCTGAAATCTGTTATACTGATGTAACACTCTATCTTAATGTCATAAAAGTGATAAGAAGCCCATAAGAAGTCTTAATTTAAAATTATTCATGAATCTTACTATATCCTGTATTTTTTGAATATTTTACAATCAAGACAAAAGGGAAAGTACTATAATTATGAATAAACTTTTAAAAATGCAGCAACAGTTTGCTGACCTTAATTATTTTCTATCCGACTCACCCCAGTGAGGGATGAGCATCAAAGCTTAACTGGGACACAACAGTTGATTAAGCACAATTAATTTGCTTTAAAACTTGCAAAAAGAAAGGTTTCTTTAATAAAATAGCCACATAGTTCTGATGAAATTTTTAAAAGAGGAAGAACTATTAACTTTTGCATCTCTTTGTAGGAAAAGTTAAAGGCTATAAAAATGGATGCTGAGAGACCAGACTGTATTGCATTTATAACTTTTACCAGGTTTTTGCTAACAAGGTATGAATTCTGAACTACAGGCTTATTTCCATCTTGAACATAGACAAAAAACAAACACTGATGACATTTATACTACTTGTACTTTTAAATTAATACCCAGTATTTCTGTAAACCAAGGTAAATCCACCTTGCATTCCCTGATCCATATTAGCAGAGACAAAATCACGCATTCAAGGGAAAATAAAAGAAAGAACAGGTGATACTAAAAAAGTTATTCTGATAACTGATCTGACAATACTTACACTGGTTGAATATCAGCTAAATTTTACAGTTTACAGTATTAGATTAAAACCCACAATTGTGAGCAAGTCTGCCACATTGATGTTCACAAATTACAACCATACCTTTGTTACTTTATCTTAGTAATTCCAGGTATCAATTTGTATCATTATTCAGTGAATTAAAGAAAGGAAACTCAATCAGAAAAACCAATTTCACTGTTACCTCAAATTTAAATGACATATTAAAATTTGCTATGAAATTGCCAATTTGAGATAAAAGTACTTCTGTCAAAATGACTTAAAAGACATTGCTATTCCTAATTAGATGGATATATATCACTCTTCTCCCATCATTTATTCTTGTAGTTTTGTCTAACAGAAACTGCTTCCCTAGCATGTTAAGATTAATATCCAGTTGGACTATATTCATATCCCCATGAATTTGATATTAAAATTGCCTTCAAAGAGTAATTTATACACACACACACACATATATGGTATGTGCTTGAGCCAAAATATTAATTAAGAACAAGTACTAAGTGCTACACATCTGATTATGCATAATAATATCATCAAGAAAAATAAAGTAATACAATTTAAAATTATTACTATTACCTGGAATAGCTGAGGTAAAGCTTTCACTGTGAGACAAAACCATATTCCCAGCTTGCATGGAAGTAAGTCATGCCATTGTGGTTTGTCCAGTATTCTGCAGTCAAATAAAATTGTAGGTTTTTCATTATTGCCACACAATCTCCACAGAAAGAAAAGCCAAAGAAATTTCCCATTATCATTTAAGATGATTAGCATTTGTCAACTCCCACAAAAATGTCTAACTACATCATATTAAACATACATTTTGAATATTTAATTCAAAATATGTAACAGTTAACTTCTAATAATTACTGTATTTTGATCTCCTTAAAGGGCTTTTCTTCAGGAAAATAAATTCATAACCCACATAATCAGTTTCAAAAAAACCCAAATCAAAAGAACACTCAAGCCTCAACCAAGTGTTCACAAGTGCTGACAACCAGATATGAAGACTGTAGCATAAACAAAACAATACATAAAAATTAATGTCATTTGCAGTTCACTGGAGCATTACTCACTGATGTCATCAGGAAAGACGACAGGCAGAATGGTCTCTGATCTCCATCCCACATTGATCCAGTTCATACCCCTGCTGTGTGAACTATTTAAACCCTTTATTTCTTTCTATGAATCAATAGAAGAAATGGTGGTATCTTTTGGAGCGTCCTGAAAGTCACTATTTCCCTATGTGTTCCTTGACAAACAACGCGTTAGAAGCCTTTACCAACATGCTTGTTTTTAAGTTGATCAGATAAAAAGCATTTAATCAGACAAGCATTAAAACCCCATTAAAACTCCTTGTTTGGTATAGTAACAAAGTAAGGTTCAAATTAATTGAAATTCATTAATTGTAATCAAAGGCAAAAACCTTTAAAGACAGAAAAAGTCATAAAGTCTTCTAAAATCAACTTATAGAAATATTACATTTTGATAAGCCAGATATCATTAATTCAGCCTTAATATTTCAATTATTGCTGATCTGCTGGATAAATACCACATGTTAATTTACAAATCAAAACCTGAAAACACATCTACACTTGCACACTTTGTATCAGCAATGGCTGTTGCTACAAATACTGTTACTCTTCTCACAAAACATTTCAAAGATGCAAAGGGAAAATGGCAGAACTAAACCAGTAACTGACAAAATGTTTAAAATGCAGAAAACAAGAGATTTCTTTCCCACCTTTCATTTTTGTCTAGAGCAGCGAGTTTGGCTTCATCTGTACTCCTGACGCCTGTTTTTTTCTTCTTCTCCCTCTTTTTTCTGCTAAGCAGTTCATCCTGATGTAGAAAGAACTATGGTTACAGGTTATCATTAGCATGTAAACCACAAATGTTACTGGGACTCTTCTGTGAAGGGTAAACAGTAGAGTAGCATTTATGCAAATGCCTCTGGAGTCCTACATGATTAAGTAAAATGATCTATCTTAACAATAACTGTTGCCATGGTATCCAGTCTTTAAACACACATGAAGTCCAGTTCTGTCACTCATGTGTATCTCCATAGCAATCAAAGTTTTCTAAGAGGAGAAAGCATTCAACTTCCCTCCTTTCTCATTCATCAACTTCGATAATGCAGTGGAAAATAAAAAAAGTAAATAGATGCTAATGTATGAATATTTTTCAAGTTATGCTAAGTCTTCTTCCTAGTCTACTAAGTGCAATAGACTTTTCTATGACAAAAAATAAAATTATCAAAAAATAATGTGGTTAATACTGCTTACCCATTCCCCACCGTTAACAAAAGCCCACAACAAAAAAGCATTTAGCTAAGAAGAAAGGCAAACCAAGTATGAATTTTATACTAATAAAACCTGATTATTTTTAAACACCACTTAGGAGAACCACAGACATGACTACAGTAGCATATTATTCTGCATCAACAAATGACAGAAGAGTTTTACTTTCTCTTCTTCCTTTCAGTTAAAAACCAAAGGACTATCTCTTGCAATTTATTACCGATTCTAGGAAAACTAAGTGGGTTTTAGACTACTATTTCTGACATATTAAATATCTCATGCTGTAATTATCACCATTTAAAATATAATCCTTTTAAAATATGAAAAATGCAAATTTAAACAAGGGGAAGTGGTAAAGATCTCTATAATATGCAAACTTCTGCAGGAAATTCAATACTAATAATTGAAGTAAGTTTGATTTATTACCAATACTTACCAGCTGTTTTTCCAGGTAGATTGACCAAACCACAGCATAATGACCCACTGTGAGTATAATGAACAAGAGTAATGCCAGCTCAGCATTGCTCATTTTTCTCACCCGCCTGTAGTAGAACACAGGCTGTCGCCAATCTGGTAGTCCATTGATCAGAATATCATCATACCTACAGTAGCAAACATAACAGGTTTCATGGAGAGCTAAAAATTAAATAAGCCAAACCATCCAATTATAAAACAAAAGATAATCCACAGCGCGTTTGAATAATACACACACAAAAGATCATTTTGTAATTTTTTTTTTATTTTTTTTTTAAGAGAGCAATGTCTTGTTTTGTCAGCAGCTAGGCTTGCATCTGGAAGCAAACAGAGGCCAGAACCAAACGCTTGGGAAATATTCCTAGTCTTTTGCAGGGAAAAAAAAAAGTAATTCAAACGCTCCTGTAACACTCCCCACACACACCCCCTGCCCATCAAGCCCATCCAAGTTCATTCACTTCTGAAATAAGAGGCTTCAAAAACGTAGATGTGTCCTACCTGCCCAGTAATCAGTGGTCAGGTCTCAGTGATAGAAGTAAATAACAACCCACTAAGTATTAAATAGGTAGCAAAGAACAAATGTCTCAAACACTAGAAACCCTTTTTTCTTTTACAAATTAAATGCACAAGTGCTGGTGGGAGAGGAGAGGTATCTTTGCTTTTTTTTGGTCCTTTAGTAGCACCGTATCCGTTAGGTAAAAACCTGCCAGACTTAACATTCATTCAGTGTAAGATATGAACTTAAGTTAGAGCCTTGATATTGATGTTTGAAAACAAAGTTCACTACTTTTTTATTTTCTATTTGAAAAGCTGTCTCCAAAATAAATCTATTTTGAGACAGTTTAATTTTACTAACACTACTGACTGTACAGAAAACATTTTATGACAGTTTGTCTGTTTTCCTTCACACAAATATTTTGAAACATCATAGTATGTCTGGGGTCTTTTATTTACAGTATAAAATAAATTTAAAAATAAACAAACCACAGACACGCAAAACAGATTTTTTTTAATTAACTTTTCAGAGTAAAATTTCAAACAAAAATCTCTACAGTAAACTCAAAAACCTGTATGTTTAAGATACACAACCTGTTAATCTTAAATTGAACATGACTCATTACATATTCTAATCACACCATTTCCAGAATTAAATCTGCACTGAAAGGCCTAATTTGGTGCAACACATTGACCAAAATATTTTAATTAAAAATATTCTGAGTTAGTCGCAGGCCTAATTACAGGAATAGAAATAGGGCCTATATTGTCATGCAGGTCAGTAGAACTCAGTAGTAGGTTTTTCTCAAGTAAATTGACCAATCCAGGAATAATAGCGCAGCTGCTAAACTGCCAGTCTTGACATGTAAATCAATTTAAATGCAACAACTGCACTAGCTACTTTGATAGTTATTAAATTGATACCTTGGAGATGTACTAAAAAAAGATTCCACATGCAAATTCATTTTTTAAGCAGAAAAAGAGGCAGTGGTTTTCAATTAAAAAATACACTTTAATTTAGTGCATATCTAGAAAGCTGACTTCTGATAAAACATTTGTTCAAGTTGTCACCGTTATTTCTATGCAAAAGATTTAACACCTCAGGATTCTTCTGTGTTCTGAATGCTACCGGAAGTAAAATTCATATAACAAAATTCTGTCTTCAATGATAACTACAAGAATATGAAGAAAAATAGCCATTATTGTAAAACTTGAAATAGTAACTTCTTTCCTTTCCTAGTAAGTCAAAACGAATTAGCTACTGATGCCTTAACACAAATGCTGTTCAGAAAAATTGCGCAGGATGTTATTCCAAAACTAAAACTTCTACTTTACTTTTTTTTAAGAAATAAGTAGAAGTTTTAGCATTTAAAAATAATAATGCATTTACAAAAGATTTTACTGACAATAGAATGTTTTTTAGAAACAAAACCATTTTTTAAAAAAATTAGGTTCATAACGTTTCACATAAGATGTTCTTTTGAAAGCTTCAGAAAAATACATATAGAAGCAAGTAGTTTTTTTAATACTACTATAAATTTATTAAGCAGCTGCCTTTCTTATACACTAATGGTTGTAAACTGATGTACTGAAAAAGTGGCCATTGATCAAATAAGGCCCATATATGCTGATGGTAATAACATAGTAAAATGTAAACCAAGATTTCAAACTAATGTTTGGCAACCATATTCTATTATAAATTATCTGTTGAGAAAAAATAAATTAAGACAGCAGAGTCTCTTGCATTAAGCACTTTAAACAGCACTCGGTATTTACCAGGCTACGTCCCCTGCTCTGAACAACAGTCTCCAAGGATTAAGTCTCAGAATCAATGCTCTATTGATTTTACTATCAATGAGCATTATGGCTCACACGACTGGCCATTTTAAGGGAAGATAGCTTCTATTATAACCCACTTTTTAGAATATATACTGTTAAAAGATAAATCACTGCTTTCAATAGTCATTAAGCTCTGTATTTGAAAAATAAAGATATCAATGATTTTTAGGTTTTCAGCTGGAAAATGATCCTACTGAAACTCAGAAGCTTCCCATAATTTTTAAATCCTGATTTTTCAAATTTATAATGTCATTTAATTAAAAGCAAGTTTCTCATTAAAGTATTTCTTTATAGAAACTTACATTAACTATGAAAGACAGTTAATCCGTGTGCATCAAGAACTACATTCACAATTAATTACAAAGCATTCTTTTGGTAACCTATAATAATTATAAATCTATGTCAGGAAAAAAAACCCCAAGCTGAAAATATATATCTGCAGTATTTTTCCCTAAAACATATGCACACAGAATAAGGCAAATTTTTTACACATGAGTATGCCTACCAGTTACCTCTGAAATGTACCGGTCAACAAGCTGCAAAAACTAAAACAAAAAGACAAAAACAAATCCCCACTTAGAAGTATGTTGAATATTTACTTTAAAACTCAGGATTCTTTACAAGACTTGTTAGTCTTCTAAATAACAAGTAACAAATTGCAAGACTATTAAAATTTCTTTCTTCTGTAAAATTTCACAAAACAGTTTTTAGAACTCTTGTGAATCAATTACATTGCAAGAAAAAAATCCATTAACTGTAGTAACTAATTACAGTATCACCTATTTCAATATAATTACAATTTACTTTTCCCTTTAAGAGAGCCACTCCATTTCATATTTCAAATTATTTCAGAGATCTGATATCATTTATATACTATAACCTTGAATTAATGAGATCTATTCTGAACTAGGGAAGACTGCACTGGTACTTTTTATTTTGGGGGTGCCTTTTTACCTCAAGCTGTCAAAGAATTCCAGTGCGGCATCACTTAGCACAATTTATACCTACGAATACAGACATTTAATTATAATGAGAACTAAAACACCTTTCTAACTCTAAACAAGTATATCTTGATTCCTTTGCAAATGCTTGCTGTAATCAAGCCCACATTGTTACAGAGGATGGGCCTGGTAAGTAATACAAGCTCCTTAAAATGGTAACAAACAATGAAAATAAAATCTAATATTTTTGCCTAATTACAATTACGAGAAGTGCATAAGACTATTTTTTCATAAATTAAAATAGTCAAAGGCTAATAAAATGATTTAACAATAAATGCATCTATCTCTACATACTCTAAAAATAAACTTTGTAGAATTTTACACTCTAGCGAAATACACAGTGTGTACACAAAACAAAAATTTGTGTTCTGCTGCATGGATGTTTAATGTTAAACAGTGGTAGCTACATTAAACAAAGCTGCACATACATTTACTGTTAGAATATTTGAATGTTTTGATTATGTATCACTCCAAGTGTGATGAGAAAAGTACTAACACGTAATACTACTATATTCTGTAGTACTACTAATGATATTAGTGTACCTCACAAGCAACTATAACTTTCTCAAAAAAGTAAACCACATTTTAAAGCCCTGTACTGTAACTGTCAGTAGACGAAATATAACATTTTAAGAAAGGCTTCTGCCACCAGATAAAGTAAAAATACACTGATGGTTTTAGAAAAATAATTACATGTAGTTGGCCAACAGATCCACCTTTTTAGAACACTGTTTCTCTACTCACACAAACAACACCTTTGACGTTCGCCAAGATGCGGAGAAGAGGTTTTATTGTTTCAAAGTGAGTTCATCACTCTCTCATACAGCGTAAGACCTTATTCCTGCCTTTGCTGCTTCCAGTGTCTGTGCACACAGGACCAATGCTGCATTACATCACTGTGGAGATGAACAGTGAGAGGCAGGTACAGCTAACTTCACTACAGAAGCAGAAGCCTGCAGCTCACTCTTCTCTCAGCGGTGGAAACCCATGTTCCAAATCATTTAGGTGCCTAATTGTGAATTCACAGCTCAACTGCCAGAATTTCTCACCAACCTGTAAGAAGTAGAACTAATTTCCATCTCATCCTCATCAGGTCTTCAGGTCAGGTTTAAAAAAAAAAACCCTCAAGAAAACAAACACCCAGAGAAATCTGGCAGAAAGCCTTGTTACAGTGTCTCTGGAATGAGTATAAAACTGAGTTAATAAGCCCTGAGAGACCAAAGGTGCATAGTTTTTCCCCAGTGCATCACAATATACTTTGAGCCTCTTCAACTAGTCCATCACCTCACATAATGCAAAGGCAAATATCAACAACTAAAGTAGAAAGATTCCAAAAAACAACAACTCCCCACCTCCCTTTGCTGTAGAGTTGCAAGAAACCCTCAAATTACCTTACAAGAGAAACTGTACTACAGGGAGAGCAGCTCCTACCACACTTACTTAAGATTTGTATTAGAGACGTGCTACAACAACGCCTTACAGGACACAGGACAGGCCACCCTCTGTTTACGAGCTCAACAGGGTTTATCATTAGACTATGCAATAAACCGGAACAACAAAGGCTTTCTCAGAGCAATAAGACCAGATAGTTCTGCTCAACATGTTATTTCTAAACTCAGTATATTGTTTCCAGAAAATTCGCTGAAAGCAACACTATTTAATCCACTACATTTATATTTATTAAACTATAGAATCAGTATCAACCATATATCCACATCGTGCAAGAAAAATATGACATTGTCTATGTACAAAATAAGTTACTGACAATTAAATCAATCTGAGTTAGAACAATCTACTGCTGCTTTAACTTCTCATTTGTAATCACTGCTGCACTTATTAAGAGTAGTTGGGTACATTAGTCACGCTTGTAACGTATGCAAGGTTTAAACCACAACTTTTACAAACTACTGCATCACAGTTCCATGCAAAAAGCTTCTATTACAGCTGCAAGGAAATTCCTACAAGTTCCATGATGGAGCTAAATTCCAGAGAGGCAATATCCCAAAGTGTACGTAAACAATGTTACAAACGAAAAGTTGGGAAGATTTGGGGGATAACTCACTTCAAGTAGTCTGAAATCACTTACCTAACATGTTTTTTTTTTTAAACTTTCCTGAAGTGTAACTTCACAATGAAATTCTCTTTAGAGGGGTGAAATAAAAAAAATACAAATTTCCAAAAGTGCTTCTATGAAGTACATTTTCATGACATTTGAAGAGGGGATTAACAAAGTATATAATCTGTAGTATAAACCCCGGACTCCTGCCAAGACATCTACAAAGCCAAAATCCCTTCAAGAAACGTCTCATAAAACTCTGGTTGAAGACTTGTAAGCTGAACGATGATTTACTAAAACTCCAACCCAAAAGCAAAACTCTTTTTATATCTCAGTTCTCCTGGTAATCAGTGGTTGAAATGTCTATTTGTTTAAAAAAAAAAAAGTTCAAAATAGTCTTCCAGAAAGCAGATCAGCCCCAGGTTTTCAGTTCTTTATCCTATCCCTTTCAGGTTCTGTTGGAACTGCTCCTGAAGTAGCAAGGACAACTAGCATTTATTAAAAAAAATATGCTACATATATCAAAGTTTATAATATTAGAGATAATACATCTGAAAGAAAAAACCCTTATGAACTAAGCAACAGAAAACAATGCTGAAGATGACATACACTGGAAGAAAACCCCTAAATATCATGCAACAAACCTTGTATTGACACAGGGAGGTATGACTGACAGTTGAATAGGTGGCCAATACTTTTAACCACAGTTTTTAATAAAATAAGCAATGATAATTGGCACAACTGAGAAAAAAAAACTGTTAAGAGATTTAAAAAATTGCTTGAAATAACAGCTGGTTTTTAAAATTCTTTCAAATACTAGTTTTAAAGGAGAAAAAAAGTCTATCATGAAAAAATATCACCTTTCCCTTTAAGCCACATACAATCTTTACTTAAACATCTACCTAGGAATTACAAACTCGAATTATGAAAAAAAAAAAAATCACCTGATGTGTTACAATTAAGTCAAATAGGACTTGAATACAGCATTGGTGTGAATGCTTTATTTAAGAACCTGTGCAATTTAACTTACGTCTGCCTCCTTTCTTCATCCTTTAAAACCTCATAGATGGCCACCAACTAAAACAAACAAAAAAAGAAAACAAACACACAGAAAGACTTTACTTTATGCTTGAGTTTTTAAAGTTTGAATAGTAGTATCATATTTACATCTGCCAACGAATGATCTCTGCCAATTTTCACTTTTCCCTACAAGACTAAGAAGCAAACCCAATATGCAAAACAAAGTGACATATTCATATACAAAGTGTCATCAGACACAAACAAGCAACTCCTGCACAAGACTTTGTCCCCTCCTCACATCTGTCAAGCTGAGTCTTGTTTCAGTTACATCTTAAAAATAGGTATCACTTGTTTCATCCTAAAGAGCTTAGTGAAATTAAGTAGGCTGTATTTAGTCATCAGAGCTACATTACAAAGCCATGTTGTTTCTACAAAGATTCAAAGACTGAAAATTAAATAATTAAAACAAATAATTTTCATTAAATTATGCCTACCTAGGTCTTGTGTTGAGAATTGATCAGAAATTTTCCATACTGCTTTTGAAAGTGCAAAACATATTTTCCTCCTAAGAGTATAAGTATTATGTTCAAATTATTTTTAATATACAGGTAAATACTAAATCCAGGCTATTCAACAAGTTAATTCCAAAAAAGTGTATTTGGTTTTAGCCTGGCTACATCAGGGGAAGTGTAATTCAATGTTTAACTTATTCATTTCAAAGGTGTACCATTATTCTTACTAAAATGACAACATCATAAAAAAATTTTGATTCTATTTGCCCTAAAACTTCTATTGCCACACAATGCACTTACTTGCCTAAACTGTGTTTCCGCATTTTCATCTTTATTCTTATCTGGGTGTAAAACCAGTGAAAGCTTTCGATATGCTTTCCGAATGTCTGCAGATGAAGCATCCTGAAAAAAAGGAAAACAAAGCAATTTGTCAGAAACTGATTCCCTGAACTTTCTTAAGATCTGAAGACAGCCAACCAAGTGCAGGAACTAAGGACACATACTTTGAGACATCTAACAACCAAAACTGCAACCACCTCAGCCTAAATGACTTAACAGTCATTCAGTCCAATTCCTCTTTCATTGTAACTCCCTTCATTACCATACATCCATTACAACGACATTTGCCAATACTTCCAAACACTTTCTTGCTTAAAACCTAACCCAGGCACCTTCTGCACCATTTAAAAGTTCAAATGAAAACTGAAAATTATTGTATCAAGACAGACATAATTTCAGCAAATTATCATGCTCAATTTCCCAAACTCAGGACTTGCTAAGAACTCTTCCCTTATTAATATTTACATGCAATTCACTCCTAATAGGACTTCCATTCAACTTCAGCTTCACTATGTCTAAAGAACTGCATTTTTCTAAAGTAGTTTCAAATTGTGGTCTTGGAGCTACACTGTAGCACTGACATCAATCTATACCTTAACCATTATAAGAACTCCACACATTTTAGGAGAAAAAATAAAACTCAAAATGTAAAATGATGTACCAACTTAGCTGCACAAATCAAGTTTCTGGATTAATGACTGCTATTTAGTACATGCTGTAAAGATATCCAGAAACAAAGATATTCACAGTTGTATTCTATATTATATAGGTGTCACCCTCACCAGAAGATCCACAAAGCATTACATGTCTGAGGCAACATTTTAGAAATGAACTGTTTATCTGACAATTTTTATTTCTTGATTTTATTTATATTGTTCCCAAGTATAGTCACTCTCTCAAAATTACAGTGTCAATAGGGATTAAAACAACAACGAAACCCAGATCTGAATTAGCTGTGGAACAGAGCTGAAACAAGATAATAATTAATGCAATACTGTAATTAGTCTGTCAGGCTTTTTATTACAAATCATTATTTTCATTTTAAAATTTTCAGTTTTATAACATCAGGCTATTACAATGCTGTATACAAGTTTGGGCCCAGAGTGAATAATAAAGACTGAATGAGAGGAAGGAGAAAAACAGAGGAAAATGCAGAATTTGAAAAACTCAGCTCTGAAATTATATTTTAAGGAAGTTGGTATTATCCCCTAATACAAGGCTGGAGTGTCCATAGTCTCTTGTATGTCAAAGGAAGGTGCTTTTATTACTCAAAAGAAGATTTTTCCTGAAAAGACCACATATGCATTTTTTAATTTTTCCGTTTTCAGCAGCTACTTCTAAGGCATGTGCACACCAAAGCAGAATTCCTCACTGAAGTACCCGCTTGCTTCCAGCTTGATTACTGCCAATGAGTTGTTTCACATTGCCATTGTTTTATAGGTTTATTTTTAACTTTCAGTTAAGGGGAAGGAAGAGACAGTGACTAAACATCTATTCTAAGCTCAAAGAAACATTAAATTCTTGAGACGTAGACTTAATAGAATTACACAAAATAAATGTGAAAATGCCATGTAAAAATATCTTTTAAAACCTAGGGATTGAGACCATGATAACCTCAACAAATGAGTGCCTCTAGACCATGTACCTGGGATAAACAACTACAGTTTATTACTTTTCTACCACACACTTAGATGTTTGGTATTCTTTTTCGAGCACTCACAAGCTGTCCCACAGTGCTCTTCCAATTACTTCGAACAACACACAAGCAAAAAAAGTTACAGTGTTTTCAGCTGTATCTGAAGAATTTAAACCTTAGTTTTATTGGGGAGCAGCAGGATTATTTGTGTAAAAGATCAAGACAAAAGGTAGTTTATATATTTAATGCTTAAGCAAAGCAAGAGATCCCAAGACAACTCTGAAATAATCAAGTTGCTTAAATATTTATGTTGCTTCACCTTGAGAAGTTGAATCAAAAATGTATAAATTCACAAAAACAGATTGTTCATCTTAGCTACCAGAAATAATATAGAGATTGTTTTGTTTCCCCTCATCTACCAACCCAGTCAGCCACTTCATAAACAACACGGGCTTGTCTTCAAACAAAATATAATTATTCAAACACTACTGTATCAAATAAAAGACAGGAAATAGTTTACTGGCCATGGTTTTAGCTAAACCATGAAAGTGATCTTTATCACCATATCAGCTGATTGCAATTAAGCCCCTAAAAGGTTGAAGAGGGTACAATAGTATCAATAGATAATTAAATATGGGACGTTACTGTAAATTATTTCATTACAACTGGCACATAGGAATTTCTAAAGCAGTAAGCAACCCTTCACAAAACCACCCAACACAACACTGGGGAATGTTGTATGTTCCAAACATTTTCCTAATTAATGCTACCTACGGGTAATGTTAGGCATCTTCAGGCAAGGCTCCAGATCCTCTAGGACCTGCCTCGGCAAAAATGGTTGGTTTTTGAGAAAAGCCTCTCATCACTACAGGACTTCCTAGCAATGTAGGACTCTAAATAAGCTATAAAGAATGATTATTTTCAAACTAATGAAGAAACATCTCCCAGCTGAAATCATCTGTTCTAAGGGACCATCATTTATAGCTACCTGGCTCTGTTGGCCACCTTCAGAAACATCTTCAGAAAGGCTGACCAACAAAACACAGAGTTAAGAGTCAGTGTTTTCTGCAGACTAAGACATTATTTTACATATTAGGGCAGAAGTCCAAAGACTACAGAAAGCCATGATCACACTAAAGTTTTGTTTGTTTTAAAGAAAAAGCTCAGGGAACATGTTGGATGGCTTCGTTTAAAATTTAGAAACCTTGATCTCAGTTACATCTAGGGAGGGAAAAATAAAACCTGTATTAGGCACCTCAGCTAACAGCAGAAGGAGCTGGTAATGTTATAGATATCAAGTGCATTCACTGATTTCTCCAACACTGCTTCAGGTTGGCAGATTTTGCAACCAATTAAGGCAAATGAGCCTGTCACAGTGTCTCCCTCATGTGGATACAAACATCTCACGAATCACCCTATTTCACCTATCCATCCTTCCAAAGCAATATCGTGCCATCATACTTCCAAAGTTGAACATCTCTTTGTTTTGGGCTAGAACTACTTCTCAGAAATACCAAACTGCAAGTCTATATTTAGGTAGGCCACAGTCTGGCCTCTTATGTATGCAAATATGCAAGTATCCACGTGGGAATTTTTAAATTCCTAACACTCTATTGAACAGTCAGAGCATCCATGTGTCTAGTTACATGACCTCTAGGTAGAAGTTAAAAGTTCAATCTTCTACATTTTTTTCACATAATCCCCTACACCACAAACCAGTGTTTTAAGACACAAAGTTACCATTTGAAGGAATCAACAGAATGTTAAAAGTTAAACACATTTCTTAAAGTTCTCTGTTGGACTTATAGATTTTTGCCTCAAGGACAATACATGTCATATTCAAAGGGTGGGGGAGAAGAGGAAACATTCTTCTCACTATTTATGACATCTACTTTTGGCAGCTTGTTTAATTCAGACAATGAAAAATACATTACTAAATTTTATTTTACTCAGCATCCTTTTCATACTCTCTAGTCTTACCAAGATAAGTTCTATCATTACACTACAAATACATACACAGAAACACAGAAAGGATTTTTTTCACCCCCCCCAAAAAAAGTCTAAATAGCCATTTGCCTTCCATTCTTTTAAAATTAAATTATTGCTGAAAATGCACAAAAATTCAAATCTGGTCTCCTCCTCTGTCTATACAAATTCAGATTCCCACTACAGACTTCACTTCCATCTTTACAATAAACAGAATAACTGGTGTCGTACACAGTACAAGTATACTGTTCCACTGCCTTCTATTCCTAATGTAACTATGATTACTAATGAAGCTAAAAAAAAAAAAGCCTCATTGTGGTCCCAAGGCAATTTTGGTGAACACATAACATATCAGATATTGCCATAGGCAAACAGTGATTAGGTCAAGGGGAAAAAAATAATCAATGTCTACATAGTTTTCACTTACCAACATACACAATTCAAAATCTAAATTGTTCCCTTGAGTGCAATGCAGTTATACAACAAGACTTAGTTACTTACAATTTAGCAACTGCTTCTAATGCAGTAAATGTGCTCAATTCATCTTGGGTTTTAAATATGCCTGCCAATGTCTTCAAATAGGTGGCAGTATCTTTATTAGCAATGGGAAGGCACGTGGTCCAGGAAACAAGTCTGCAGATAGAAATCACATTTCTACTCACTTGCAGTTTGTCCAATCACTAGTTAATGGGTGCAAGGAGAAAGACATCAGTGCACCTGTTTCATCACAGTGCTGCTGAATGCCAGTGTAGAATTTTCCACAGCCACGTTACTGAAGCTATATTGCAAAAAGCGACAGTTGTATAGAGCACCAGCTTACTATTTCAAGTGCAAACTTGTAAGTACCTTCAGTGCAAGCAGGCCCTCATGAGGCCTTCTTTAGCCTTCTCAAATTATAAATCAAAGTTATATAACTCTTATGTTTGGATATTTTTTTTTTTGAGCATTCAAATGTACATGGTTTCTTCAACAAAACTATTTCATTCAGTACTTTTGTGTAGAAGAAGGGGTATAAGCCACTACTTTCCTTCTGGTAACCATCAGGCATACAAGTTGAAGAAGAATGGTACAGAAAAAGAAACAGAAAGTAAGCTTTGCAAATTCACCATCACATATTTTTCTTCTGTGATTTGAAACTGCAGGATGCACAGGCTGTCCCACAGAATTCACAGACAAGCAGGGGCAGATACTAGACAGAAGCTGCCACCATCTATTAAACACTGTGTCAACACTGCTACTTTCTACCTGTTTGTCTTCATGTGAAGTCCACAGAAAACTAATATCCCTAAGTGTTAGAAACAAGCAAACATGACTGTAGGTTAACAATTAAATATCCCCTGTCCTCATTCCTTAAGCAGCATCAAGGAACTCCATGTGATCCCCTCCTTTGTGTGTCATTCTCATATGGGGACAGAACAGTGACCACTGTTGCTCCACAACC